GGGCTAGAATACATGCACTTTGGTCATCCTGGACAAGGATCCCGAGGGGTCCCCTTGGATCTGCAGAATGAGCCAGGGCTAGAATACATGCACTTCGGTCATCAGAAGCCAAGACTGGCTTTGTTCTGTCTCATAGGGGTTAGTTTCTTCTGCTTCCTTGTGGCATCTTGTTTTCACTCTATTTCAAGGGGTGCCTGTGATGGAATGGACCACAGTCTATTGTGACAGGCGCTAAAGAACACTAGTGGTGCATTGGGTTAAGTGCCGGGATGTTCACCACAAACCTGTTCTGTTGGGGAAAGACGGGGCTGTTTGTTCTGGTAAAGATCTACACCCTTGAAAACCCTCTCTAGGGTTGCCGTGAATTGGAATGACCTCTATGGCAGTGGGTTTGGATTTGTCTGAGGCCACTGGTCATTACTGTCTCGGCTGCTGGTGGTTCAGACACGGACCTTGCCTTATGCTTGTACTGAAACCGCACTGCTAAGGAATGATGCGTGGAACACAGGACCACAGGCCACCCTGCCTAGGTCACCAAGAAGAGACATGGGAAAACATGGCTTCATTCTTCACCGGGAACCTCAACTGGCTAGAAAGAAAGTCTAAAATATCTTCCAGTCACAATTCTACTCTCACAATGTATCAAACCCGTCTTGAACTTAATATTCACAATTTGTAATGGTTGGGGTAAAGATTTTTGCTAGGAAAAAGCAATTTCCTTTCCTCGGTCTAAAGTATTAATTTCTTATCAGTGTTCATCAGCTTCCCTTTAATGTGAAGGTCTGCCTTAAGTGCTAATGGTCCAGGACCCGACACCAGCCCAGCTGCTCAGTCACCTTCGTCTTTGTCTTTCCCATGGAAGAGATCTCACTAATTCACTGGTGCTTGCACGGTGTCTCCTTGTTTATTCCGACCCCCATCTTTGATGCCTTCCTTGAAGGACAGAGACTAGAATAGCAGGTGATCTTCCAGAGGGGAACTAACCAAGGTCCATCACAGTTAGGATGCTCTTGGCTGGATTTCTAATACAAGGGTTTTAAATACCTTTCTTGCGCTTTGGACAAAAGAGGCCCCATGGTGCTGTGGGACCATTGTTGAGGTGCTCACCTCAAGGTTAGTAGTTCAAAACTCCCCAGCAGCTCTTCAGGAAAAGGGGGAGGCTGTCTTCCCTGGATTTACATTCTTAGAAGTCCTAGATAGGAGTGCTCTAAATTGGAATCAACTCGCTGGCAGTGAGTTTTCTTTTTAAGCCCTGATAGCCAACTGGGTCATTGTCTTAGGGAAGGGACGTATGGACTGTGAATCCTAGCCCCCTCTCGACCAGTAGTTACTGAGGGCTTAGAGACCATCACTCTTCTGGCAAATAAGCTTGTCGACAGTTCATATCTGCATACGTCTCAGTTTCAACCCCCCTCAGCCACCCCTCTAATTGTATGCTCACCATGTGAAGCTTCTCTGTAATTGATTGCCACTAGTTTAGCATGTAAAAATAACACTTTAAGAATTTATTAAATAATATAAAACCCCTCTTGATTCCCGGAGGAACAGAAAATCCATGCTTCTTCATTGAGTAAAGATCGTTTGTCTCCATTCCCTTGCTCCCTCCCTCTACCCCTCATTTTCTAAATTAGTTTCCTTTCTCTGATAAAACAGTGACTACAGTTTAAAAGCCTTTGGAGTAGAAATTTATCTAAGGCTTCTTTTAAGTCTAAGTAAGTGATGGCCACTGTTTTCCCCTGGTCAATTTGTTTTCTCTTTCAGGGAAATCAAGTAGATCAGACTGTTCTGCTTTGACTCTGTGGACACCAGGCTTCTCACGCCCTGTGCTCCCCACTTTGAAAGTCTGGGAACTCACACCCGAGAGGATTGGTAAATTCCTCCACAAAGACCCCAAGACCATCATTCACTTGGTTTCACAGCTCTTTCCTGCTCCTACACTTTTTGCACAGGGCAAAGTGATGTATTTTATATCACTTTGCACTTGGATTTCTTTAGTGGTATCTGCCTTTACCGCAAGTACAGGATTTTGCCTGTGGCAGAGATGGCTGCTGTTTTCTCAACTGCCACTCTCCCTTTCCCCCTGGTAGAAGCCCATGGTATCAGCAAGGCCAATTTGCTATCCATGGTCATTTCTGAGCCCTAGAGACCTTAAAGGGCAGAGTAGAGCTGCCACCATAGGCTTCCAAGGCTGGAATTTTTTCTGGGAGCCGAAAGCCTTATCTTGCTCTCATAGAGTGCCTGATGGTTCTGAAATGCTGACCTTGAAGTTCTTAGACTAACTGGTGCCCCCACTAAGCCTTCAGGGGTGTCCCACCTTCTCACTGTGGTCCCTGTGATGGACTACTGTCAGGTCACACCAAGCACTGCTGCTGAGCCTACTGGTGATGAGAGAGAAAACGAATACAAACCCAGGTTTACTGTATTGGTCATAGAAAATTTCCATGAGAAGGTTCCAGGTGATGCCTCCATTGATAGAGTATTCTAAGAGAACCCCTTGGTTCCGGTTGTTTGGTGTGATCAGGCATCCATACATGAAGTAAAACTGGATGAACTCAGCATTTGTGAGGTTTAGATCCACTGTGACCAACAATCGGCTGCAGCCCTAAGGTGTGGAATTAAAAAGACACAGGACGAGAACAAAGATGTCGAGAAGGAATGTGATGACAGAGGATAGGTTTTCTCTGGCTTCCTGTATGTGTTTCCTTTGAAATGCACATCATAAGGTATTGCAGTCCAGATTTCCCTGTCATCTCTTACTACACTGGCACCTCGCATGATGGCCAGCACATAGTAGGTGCTCATTGAATGTTACTGAACATTTAAACTTCGTCTTTAAAGACTTTTTAGCATAGAAGGAGACAATATAAGACGTTCTACCTCTTATACATGAAATGAGAGCTAGAATTAAAGTAATTTCTATGCCTTTCTTAAATGATTTCGATCTATTATTTTTTTAAAGCAGCAGCTATTAATGGAATAGCATATTGAAATAGTGATTTTAATAAATACTTAAGAATAGTTAATGTAACTTAACAACATTATAACTGGAGAAGATTGTTATAGTTCTTTTTAGTTAAACTTTCATACAGATGTTAATGCCTTCCATAAAATTCTTTACCGTAGAAAGGTAGAAATTAGTTGAGCATATAATGAAATCTATGCCATTGAATTTTAGCAAATTAATTAAGAGTTCCAGCCAATCTGGGAAGAGAATCCTTAATACTGCATTCTTAGTCAGTGGTGATGATTATAAAAATCATGTATGCTCTTCTATTACTCTTAGGTTAAAATAGTCCATGTACGTAATGTACTTAGTTGGCACAAGGACAATAAATGACGGGAGGAGAGAGCTGACAACAAATTTATTACATTTTATTAATTTGCCCATGAAAAACATCAAATCATATTATTGGAGAAATTATAATTCTAAACAAAGTAAGATTTGGCAGCAAAAGCAGCATGATTATAAAATTTCTCAATGAATGTTTCCTACACCACTATCATTCACATTAATAATCTGCTATAAATATAAATGTTAAGTAGTTATGGGCAATTATTCTTTCTGGATAAATTATAGAAAGGGTTGATTATTGTCAATAAATTCAGTAACCATGGATGCTACTTTTCCAGATTTTTCTGCTTCTTAAAAATCTGTGGCCAGCTCTTCAGAGGTTTCCAAATGTACTTGGCCTATTGCTCCCTTTAAAAACCATTATCCAGTGCCCTCCTGGCAAATAAAAACCTTGGTTCAGTAGCCCCCGATCCAGGAGGAAATGTAGGCATCTGCTTTCGCAGCTGGTTCTCCGTCACTGCCAGGGGACAGTACTGCTATTTTGGGCAACACTGGTAGAGTTTATACCTGGCGAACAATGCAAATGGAAGCCGTGCACACAGCAGGCAGGTCTTCTTCCCCAGGGCAGACATTCAGGTAAGTCCTTTTTCTCCGTGTACTGCAACATGCCCTGTACTGACACGCATCCTTTCAACAGATGGTTTTAGGGAGAACTAGCAATTAGTAATTTCTGATTAGTATGAAGGTGCAAGCTCAGCTCAGAGTTGGGTATTCAGAGTGGTCAACACTCTGCCTTGTTTTGCCACAATAATTAAAAAGAGACTCATCTATTTTGGGGGGCGGGCGCTAAGAGGGCGCAGCAGGGAGTCACCAGCAGACAAGCACTCACCCCACTGAAATGGAGCGCCATTCCGGAAGCCACAGCGCCACACACAGTACTCAATTTCCCGCCATTCACTGTTAGCCAGTTCTGGTTGGATGGAGCTCGATTGAAGTTGTCTTTGAGTTGGGTGGGGAGGGAGGTCTCAGGCTCATCACAGTAGAGGCCCCCCCACATCTCATCACAGCTGGGCCCAGGGAGAGAGAAAGGCAGGGTCAACATCCAACAGTCTCACATTAGTTGGGTCAACTCTTTCCTAGCCCAGATGATGGAAGGTTACTTATCTTCACAAAGCTTGCCAGAATTCACCTATGCTTTACAAGAGTGCTTTAGGTTAGAAAGGAATCACGTCTCCCATCCCCACCGAGCAGAGGCTGACTCACAGTGACCCTATAGAGCAGAGCAGAACCTCTCCACGGGGCTTCGAAGGGGGTACACCTTTTAGGAAGCAGACTGCTTCAACTTCATTGTTCTCCCAGGGAGCTCCTTGATGTTTTCAAATCACTGCTGACATTTCTGTTAGCAGCCCAGAGTTCAACTCATTGGGCCACCAGGGGTTCCTTAAATGACTTCTGTCTGTCTGCCTGTCTGATTCTCGCTCAAAGGACAGAGGAGAACTGCCCCTGTGGGTTTCTGAGACTTTCCTAAAGTAATTCATGAATTATGTTTACCAGTGGAGAGAAAGAAGCAACCTCAAAGAATTTACTAAAGCTATGTCTCCTCTTTGGAGTGGCTCCGGTAAATGAGATGGTTCTTTTCAGAGTTCTCTTCGGAATACAAGAATCCAGTTGGTTTTTGTATGCTAATCTTGTAGCCAGCCCAGCTGCTGAATCTTTCAATTAGTTCTAACTTTCAACTTTTCTTGTTGAGGCTTTGGGGTTTTCTATGCAAAGAATTATATTATCTGCTAGTAGAAAGTGTTATTGCTTCTTTGCCAGTTTGGAAGCCTTCAATTTCTTTTTGTGGTCTAATAGACCTTAAAGCTCTGTCACAGTTTTGGCTGGCTGATAAACAAATGGAGCTGCCAAATTGGACTGGTAGAGCCTCATAATTTATGAAATTAAGTCTTTCTAACAGAAGTTTGGGGCCATGTAAGAAACCAAGATGCCAGACTCCAAAAAACAGACGATATTTGGGATGGCATCTGCCTTCTGGCTAAAGGACTGACTGCCCTTGGAATATGAATAAGCTTATGCATGCCAAGGGTAAATCTGGGTACTGGCAAGAAGCATTAATCAAAAGAGACTCTTTCCAGGTGTGTGGAGCTTAGCGAAGAAGAGACTACAAATTTCCTTGTTTATACTACCCCTTCAGATTGCAAATCCTTGAAAATAAAGAACAGAGACCAATAGTGTATCAGTATATGCACACAAAACACTTTTTATCCTTCCAAAGATATGAAGGCTCTCTAATAGTCATACATGTGGCCTCTTTATCAAGTATGCTTGACTAATTGACCAAGCGTTTGTATACTCTCATATGCAAACAACACTGGTATATGCCAATTAAACCAGGAGTAATATGTATCATTATACATATGTGCATATATATGTATCAATATATATATTCAGACCTAAGAGAGGAACACATTTATGATGACTTATATTTTGGTCCAAGCATACTGAACTCTTGAACCTTTTCTAATGTCTTTTTCAAGGCTCAAGTGTACCCGAATAGCCCGAAAAGGAAATAAAATACAGTCCATTAGAATTCCGCCTTTTCCTGGCAAGAGAGCTATTGTTCAGTTCTTCATTTCTCAGCAAGAATGAAGATGCAATACCCATCAACTCCACAGTTAGCTCAATATTATATTTCAGAAAAATACAGACTGTAAGGTCACTTGGGAGGGATTCAAAAACCCTTTGTCTGGAAGGAGGCACTCCCCACTTACACACAGCTTCCTCGGAGGCACCTCCCATGGCCACTGCACATGTCGATGCATCCATCCCCGATGTAGACATTATCTATCGCCCACGTCTGCTGCTTGTCAAAAGGAGCTGGTTGGTGCCAGCGGAAACGAGTGGCTTGGGACCTTTAGAGGAGAGAAGAATTATAATGAAGGATGCGGTGGGAAAGAGGCTGTGTTCCGCCTGCCTGAATGAGCGTACACGGAGCAGCAGGGCACTCACAAATGCACACCCGCTCCATCTATTCTCACTCATCTTCTGAAAAGTCTGCATTTCGCCATTTGATATTCTAGGCACACGCTGCTGAACAAAACCAAATCCAACGGAGCTAGGAGAGACGGGTCATTTTCCTTTAAACCTTAGCGAGACTTGTAAATATAAACTAAGTGGAAATAAAATGTAACACTAAAACCAAAAGTTTTGGAGGGATGCTGAGCCCTGCATTTTGGGTGGGAATGACTGTGGCATGACACCAGGGTGCTAAGTTAGAGGTGTCAGTTAGGAAATGGAGCTCATATACCCCTTGGAGAGTAGGGCATGGGCTGGATTTCAGCCTCCTCTCGCTCCTCAAGGCCCAGTGCCTTCATGCAGTGGTCAAACTGCTCCACTTCACACAGCTTTCCCGAGGAATTCTTTCAGCGAAATTCTTCAGAGACAACATGGGTGTAAAGCACTGTGATCAATGAAACCCTAGTTAATTGGATGGAGAAAAGGGCAAGGTAATAAATAAGACCAGATATATTTTAAATTGATTTTGAAGCAATGATAGTGAAACCCAAACAAGATTAGATTAGAGCAGAAATATTAATATATGTATATCTCTTGGTCTCAAAGGATGTCCGTTTGAGGGCTAGGATATGCCTGACCCAAGCCAGGTTATTTTCAGTTGCATTAAATGCATGTGCAAGTTGTACACTGAGTCAAGAAGACTGAAAACATTGATTCATTTGAATTATTCTGCTGGCGAAGAATATTAAAACCACTACAGGATGCCAGAGAAGCAAACAAGCCTGTACAGCCAGACTGCTCCTTAGAATGGAGGATGGTAAGACTCTGTCTCAGGTGAAGTGTAAGGGGAAGGGAAGAGTGGCTTGACAGGGTAGCTGTAACAATGGATCACCCAGAAGTACAACTGTGAGAGGGGCCAGGACTGGCAGCATTTCCCTCTGTTGGGCTTAGGGTCACTATGAGTTGGAACCAACTTGAGGGCACACAGCAGCAGCAGCAACATCTCTCTCACACACAGTTTGGGCGAGTGTCTTGTTCAGAAAGACAAATAATCATATGTTTTCAGAGGCACTAGATGGCAGTCAAACCCCAATTATGCCTTGACGCTCAAGCGAGTCAAACATTAATGATAGTATTTAGCCAAAGCAAATTTGTGTTCATTGAGTCATACACATTTTGTCACTGAGAGTCTGTTTATTGCTGAATGTTATTTATATAGACTCCAAGGGGAAAATACCCCTGTGGTATGTTCCTAAATGGGCACTTTTGATCCAGTTTCTATCCAGTACCTGATGACCTTAGTAACGTGCTATATAGACAACTGGGACATTAGACTGTCTTTGGATGGACACAACTCCCTTCATTAGACCACACCAGAAGGACTCGAACTGGAAACCCCCCTAGCCAACTGGACTTTACCTTAAACTCAGTGGTCGCAGATCTTAGGAACTGAAATACTCCCTTGAACAAGACAGGGAGAAGCAGATGGTGGCTAGCTATGCTCAGGTTAGGGAATAGGTGGTCCTTGGACTTTGGTTTGGCTCAAACGTATTGCTTTGAGGGTGCTCAATGAATGGCAACCAGCGCCGACATACACTTGCTGTTTTCATATTCTCTGCATTTTTGTGACATACATTAGTGTACTATGTGTCGTTTTGCCTTTATAAATGTGTTATTGAAAGTATTGCCTTATGGTTTGTGTGCAGGTGCCCTGGTGGAGCAGTGGTTATGCATTGGGCTGTGATCCACATGGTCAGCAGTTTGAACCAACCAGCAGCTCCTCTGGAGAAAGTCTAGGCTTTCTACTCCTGTGAACAGTTTCAGTCTCGGAAACCCACAGGGAGTCGCTATGAGTCAGCACTGCCTCCATGGCAGTGAGTTTGAGTTTTTGAGTTATGGTTTCTGTAACTAAGTCTGAAAGCTGTACAAATGAACAATTCATGTAGTCTAGTCTAAAAAGATATATAAATTCCTTTCTCAGCCATGTTTTCAATTCTATACCAAGGATAAAATAATGTTACTATCAATAGAATTACCTTATGCTCCATGCAGATGATTTATGATGTGCTCCAATAAATGAACCAGGGACATATATAAATATAGGGATATGAATGGATTTTGAGATCTCACTTGATCATAGCCCTAATATAAAAACAATTAGTTCTTATGACAAGATCCTGCTCAGTACTTGCTCTCATGAGGGGATCACTGGAGATATGAGTGTGATAGCAAAGTGTGGTAAAGAAATCAGATGGTGCCCCGCTATCAGAAAAAAGTCTCTGGGGTTTTAATGACTTGTCTCAAAACAAGCAGTCATCTAACTGAGGGATAAGCAAAGCCCATACAGAGCAAGTGTGATCCAAGGAGTACAAATAATAAAACCTAAGCCCACAGGAGGAAGTAGTACCAGAACCTAAATTCTTAACATACAGTTCGCAGAATGTAATGGATGATAGTGGAAGCCCCAAATCCATTTGCAGGGTCCCTACATGGATTGCGTCTCGGTAAATACCTACTGACCATAGGCTAGGAATATGAGTTGCCCTAATACCAGACAAAGGGCATTCATTGTAAAGTGGATTTATGCTGGAATGTAACATCTTGTCATTAGATTTCTCTCTTGATCCATTCTGAATTTATTCTGGTTTTAATATATTTTCTGCTTTTTTTCAGTTGAGGTTTTCTGTTTTACTTGGTCATTGTTACTGAGTCCTTTCATGTTTTTTGCCTTTGCTTTGTGTATATATATGTGTGTGTGTATATATATATGTCTATATATTTTCTATAAGGAAGCCTATAGATCCAGGGTGGGTGGATCTATATAGACAGCAACTAGTGTCACCAAAGGGCAGGCTAAGGGGAAATGGGGAGTCCACAGCCAAGGGCACAAGAAGGAAGACATTGTTCCAAAGCTGACTATGGTGATGATTGTACAAGCCTTCATAATATGACTGAACCATTTAATTGTATGATATGTTAATTATATCTCAATAAAATATTTTAAAAAGAGTCCATTTATTATTTGAATGAGGAATATCTGTACTAGGCAGGGCAAAAGATAACAGTCAGAATTAAAGAACAATTTTTAAAAACTGAAAACATTTACAAAATTTAGGAAATAGAAGAGGAACTATCACTATCAAACAGTTACAAGTAGAGCTAAACTGTTCTCTCAGAATAAATAGTTTGGCGGTGTTGGCTGAGACCACGCAGGAATTGTTTCCCCACAATCTTTCTTGCTTTCTAAATCCTATGAGCTCCTCCCACTCTAGCACCCTCCGCTGACTTCCTAGGGCACCGAACTTGCGCCCTACGCTGTCACAGGAGTTCCTGAGGCTCTGCTTGAGAGTCCTCCTCCCTGAGCCCCTTCTGATGTCTAGTACACTGCTCCTTGTCTCAGTTCTCAAAGCACACCCACACCATCCACACCTTCACTCAGGGTGCTCTTCCTCTCTGCTCGGCTAACTCCAGTGTGTCCTTGCTGCAATGTGAGGTTCTCATAGAGAAATTTCTTCCCGACTTCTTAAAAAATTAGGTTTCACGAAGGGAGTGCAACAGAACAGCAAGGGGAGCAAAGCAACAAAGTCCCCGAGGAGTCCCCAAAAGAGATTTCTGACTTGTGGGGCAGGGCTTGGCACCTCATCGGACCCCATCAGAAAACATTTGAAAGGGTCAGCAGACAGGCATGGAAGTATTTATAGGCTTTTGTTTTTTCTTTTCTTTCTGTCTAAATGATAGGCAGCATAAACAATCCCGGGGAGAAAACAATGGGACTGATGGTTTTCCTGGGGGACATGGGAGAGGAGGAGGCAGAGGAAAGGGAGGGAGATCCAACAAACACAAGGACAAGAAAACAATACTAGATCTAAAATGGATGCAAGGAGGGCACAGAACGCCTGGTGGGGTTTGATCAAGTGCAATGTAGCCGAGAGGAATTATGAAAGTGGAATGAAGGTCAAACATGATAGTGGGACAGAAGGAAAGTAAAAGGGAATGGAGGAAGGAACTAGGAGGCAAAGACATGTATAAAGGTATAAATACAGACATGCATATATTAATATATAATGATATGGATATAAGTCTATGTACATATATTTATTTGTTAAGTAGTAAGAGGGCAAATAGATATTGGGCCTCTACTCAAGCCCTTCCTCAATGCAAGAACACTTTGTTCTAATAACCTGGCATTCTGTGATGTCCACCTTCCCGATACAATCCTGAAGACAAAATGGGTGTACAAGCAAATGTGGTGAAGAAAGCTGATAATGCCCAGCTATTAGAAGATAGAGCACCTGGGGTCTTAAAGGCTTGAAGTTAAACAAGTGGCCATCTAGCAGGGAAGGAACAAAGCCCACATGGAAGAAGCACACCAGCCTGTGTTATCACGAGGTGTTGATGGGATCAGGCATCAGACACTAGAAGACCCAAAACAAACAATCATATCAATGCGAATGAGGAAGGTCTGAGTGGAGACACAAAGCCCATCTGTAGACAACTGGACATCCCTTCACAGAAGTGTCAAAAGGAAGGAATGAGCCAACCAGGGTGCAGTATAGCACCGATGGAACATACAACATCCCTCCAGTTCTTTAATGTTTCCCACCCCAACCCCCCATTATCACGACCCCAGTTCTACCTTACAAACCCAGCTAGACTGCAGCACGTCCATTGGTACAGATAAGAGATCTCGACACACAGAATCCAGGATAGTCTAACTTCTCAGGTACAGAAATGGGAGAAGCAATACCAGGGGGCAGGCAGAGGGTGGGCAGAGAAGGGGGAGAAAGGAGGAACCAATCACAATGATCAATGTTTAACCACGTTTAAAAATGGGTGGGGGGGTGGTCAACAACAGAAATGTCGGTGAGGGGAGACAGTGGATGATGTAAGATATGAA